CTGTGGCCAAGAAAAGACTACAACCTTGCCCCTTGTCAACTCTACTATATACCTGGAAGTCTTACAGATGGTTTTGGTTTTATAGCATGCTGGAGTGCCAACTGTGTGCTAGGTCCGGGTCTGGGTGCAAAAGGACAGCCTCTGTCCTCAAGGAGCTCACAAGGCAAGACACTATGATGCCATTGATGGGGGTCAAGTTTAAGACAATTCAGCAAATAGCTCTTGAGCATCTTTTTTATTCTAGGCACAGTTCTAGGTGCTAATGATACAATGGTGAATAGAGGTTATAATATAGAATCTTCCGGTGGCTCTTCACCAATGCTGCCACAACATATTAACATTTTAAAAATATATATATTTTTGGAGATCTATATCTGCTTCAAAAAAGAAAAGAAAAGAAAGAGACATGATCAAGTATAGCAAGGATTGTGAGGATGGCGCAGGGCAGTGTTTCATTCTGCTGTCTGTGGGGTCGCTAGGAGTTGGGGCCGACTTGAAGGCATCTAACGACTAACACTTCCCCAGAACACTATTTGGCCTTAATGGTCCTTTTATTTATTTATTTATTTTAACATGAGGCTCTTCGAGTTGCCAGGTAATTCTTCTCATTTGTAAAAGATGGCCCCTTTCAGGTCGTTGGAGAATGTTGTCTTGTTGTTTCCTGAGCACTGATTACATGAGGCTCCTTGGCTGATCCCTCAGACCAACGTGGCATTGTTGTTGAACTTCTTGAAATTGGTTAGGAGCTCAGTGGCTCTGTGGGGCCCAGCAAGGGCCTGTACTTGGTAGGAACAAAGTGCTTTGCCCCAAGGATGCTGCTCATCCTAGCTATAGCCTAACCTCTTGGAAAAATAATGCCTGTGACATTTTGCATTTGGTCCACAGCTATCACCCATTTCACCCACAATGGAAGAAACAAAGAAGAATGCCAGGGGTAGACAGAAGCCCATAAGGACTGAGTGGAATTCCCGGTGTGTCCTTTTCACCTATTTCCAAGGGGACATAAGCAGCGTCGTGGATGAGCACTTTTCCAGAGCTCTGAGCAATATCAAAAGCCCTCAGGGATTGAGCCCCTCAAGCCAGAGCCAAGATGTGACCATAAGAAACGGTGAGTGTGTTGCGAGGGAGGAGGCCGGAATTCCCTGTTAAGGCCAGAACTCAGACCAGCTTATCAATGAACTTCCAAACCAAAACCAAGCTCACTGCCATCGAGTCATTTTTGACTCATTGTTGTTGTTGTTATGTGCCGTGGAGTCGGCCTCGACTCATAGCAACCCCTCCTTGGGTTTCCGAGGCAGTATCACTACGGAAGTAGGATCGCCCAGCCTTCCTTCCGAGGAGTGGCTCATAGCAACCCCCATTTGGGTTTCCTGGGCTGTATATCTTTATGCAAGTAGATCACCCTGTCTTCCTTCTGTGGAACAGCTTGTGGGTTTGAACTGCTGACCTTCCAGTTAGCAGTCAAGTGCCTTATCAAATGTGTATATTTGCTACAGGAAAGTCACACCATCCAGTGAAAAGACACACTTCTTTCTTATAAGTTTAATGTGTAAATGGATACTGTTTAATCAAATTAGTTCACTGATTGCATTATTTCCTCAATCATTGGAAGGGTTGCGTTCACATCAGTTCACTGTTATCATCATTATTTTTATTGGTTTAAGACTAGTGCCCTGATGGTGCTGGAACACCAAAGAATTTATAATAGGAAAAAGCAGGTCCCATGTACATGCTCCCAGCCGCCTCTCAACTGATAGTGGAGCAAGGCCAGGGCCACAGGGAGGTAGATGAAGGGTCCTGCTGCAGCCCCTCACCCCACCCCAACAGGGTCAGGGAGCCCATTGCATACATTATTTGGTAATTATTTTTTACAGCATTCTTACATCTGAAAGCAGTTACCTTGAGAGAGCTGTGCCAAAATGTGTACATTGAAATACCCAGATTTGGAGGAACCCATAAAAATGAAGATGGCAGGCCTGCAGTATGACTTTCATGAGCCCTAGACACTTTTATCTTCATGGTCACTTTCCTCTATAAAAAATACTAAAAACTATATTTTATGACTGTGTTGGTATAAAGATGAATATTCTCTAGGTTGGATTCATTTGTATATATTCATTATCATTACTATGGAGTTCCTGGGTGGTGTAAAGTTACTGCACTCAGTTACTAACCAAAAGGTTGGTGGTTCAAGTCCACCCAGGAGCACCTCAGAAGAAAGGCCTGGCAACCCACTTCCAAGAAATGAGCCACTGAAAACCCTATGTAGGACAATTCTACTCTACTCTACACAATGTGGGAGCTCTGGTAGTGTAGTGCCTAAGGCACTTGACTGCAAACCAGAAGGCTGGTGGTTTAAACCCACCAGCTACTCCTCAGAAGGAAGATGGGGCAATCTACTTCCGTAATGATACTGCGTCGGAAACCCAAGGAGGGGTCGCTATGAGTCGGGTCCGACTCAACGGCGCATAACAACAACTACACAATGTATGGGGTTACCGTGAAGCAGAGTCAACTTTCTTTAAAACAAGGCATTAGTGCATTCGTTTTGTCCTTCTGATTGTAAAGGAAGTTAAAAATTTTTCATGGGTCCCTGAAAGTATTCCTGGGCCCTAGGCACCATGCTTCTTGGACTTAAGGGACCAGTGACCTCTGTCACCTGGATGTGAATCAGAGTGGCTCTTCTTCACTTTTATGAAATGTGCAAATAGATCAGGGTCTGGTTGATTTTAAGGGCTCTTTACTACTGTTCCCAAACATATGTGTTGAATGCCTTCCTCTCATTGGAGAATGTACATGCCTCCAAGTGGGGTGCTTTGTAGACACATGGGGCCTCTGCTTGCAAGGGAAGAGCTCACCTCTTTCCAGAAACACCACTCTGGCTTTGCTCTTTGTGTCAGGACAGGGAGTTGGTGTGTGTCTGATGCACTTACCTTTGCAGAATTTATGTCTCTCCTAGAAATTTCTCTTCCGATCAGGTGACATGATTTTCTCAGAGGATCTTTTGGGTTAAGTAAACATGTGGAAAGGTATGTGACAGTAGCAGATACAAAAGGAAATGATGTTAAAATGGGCATGAGGAGGTGGGTGGAGGGTGGGGAGGTGATGTCCTTGAGTGTATTGAATTATCAGAGCTTGAGCAAGAATGGCTGTGATCTTGAGTCATTTGAGATTGACATGTGTTAAGAGCTGAGAAATGATGTATGTGGATTCAGAAAATCTAACTGGCTCCTTGGAAGGATAAAAATTCTCAGTCACTTCATTCTGGATAAGTATGCTGACTTTGGCTATTTGACTCTTTGATTTCTTATTGCCAAAGACATTGGCTTGGATTCATGACAGTTGCTTCCTTATAAGTACCATCAATCCATGGGCCTTCACTTCCTCTATTCTTGGTATAATAGTTTCCTAAGGATGCTGTAAGAAAAATGCAACAAATTAGGTGGCTTTAAAGAACAGAAATGTATTGTCTCACAGTTCTGGATATTAGAAATCCAAATTGGGTTCTTTTGATTCCTTCTGAGGCTCTGAGAGATAAACTGCTCCACGCCTCTCTTCTAGCGTCTGGTGGCTCCAGGAATTTCCTAGGTTGCAGCTGCAGTGTCACATGGCATCCTTCCTATGTATTTCCATCTCAGTATGTCTTCTGATTTATAAGGACACCAGTCATATTGGATTAAGACCCACCCTACTCCTATATGACCTAATGTTAACTTAGCTGATAACATCTTCAAAGAAAGAAACTATTTCCAAATAGGTCATTCATAAGTATGGGATTTAGGACTTCAGTGTATCTTTTTTGGAGACATGATTCAATCTTGTAAAATCTGAGCTAAAACCAACTCTTGGCTCATTGTAGAATTCCTCTGCTTCATTTTGTGGCAAAACTCAAACGTGGTATTCATGGACACTATCTCCTCTTCCTCTCTCTCCAGGCTCTCTTGAATTCACTCCACTCGGGCTTTCATGCTCATCATTCCTTGAAACCACTCTTATCCAATGTCCTCCACTTCCCAAATCCCATGGTCATTCTGTCTTCATCTAATTTGACCTATCAGCAACATTTGCTTTTAAGACTAAGACAGACTAGAAGAAGGATGTGGCCAGGTCCACTTCAGAAAAAAATGGCCACTGAAAACCTTATGAATAGCAGGGAGAAATTATCTGATACAGTGTTGGAAGATGAGCCCCTCAGGTTGGAAGGCACTCAAAGTATGACTGGCAAAGAGCTGCCTCCTCAAGTAGAGTCGACATTAATGATGTAGATGGAGTAAAGCTTTGGAGACCTTCATTTGCTGATGTGGCATGACTCAAAATGAAAAGAAACTGCTGCAAATATCCATTAATAATCAGAACGTTGAATGTACAGAATATGAATCTAGGAGAATTGGAAGTTGTAGAAAATGAAAGGGAATGCATAAAGATTGATATCCTAGGCATTAGTGAGCTGAAATGGACTGTTATTGGCCATTTTGAATCAGACAATCATCTGGTCTACTGTGCTGGGAATGACAAAATGAAGAGGAATTAATTAATTAATATCACACACAAGTAAAATTTTGCTGAAGTTAATTCATAAATGGTTGCAGCAGTACATTGAACAGGGAACCTCCAGAAATTCAAGCCAGATTCAGAAGAGGATAAGGAATGAGGGATATCATCACTGATGTCACATGGATCTTGGCTGAAAGCAAAGAATACCACAGAGATGTTTACCTGCATTTTATTGACTATGCAAAGGCATTTGACTGTGTGGATCATAACAAACTCTGTATAACATTGAGAAGAATGGGAATTCCAGAACACTTAATTGTACTCATAAGGAACCTGTACATAGATCAGGAGGCTATTGTTAGAACAGAAGAAGGGGATTGTGGTAGTTATGTTTGTGTGTCAACTTGGCTGGGCCTGGTTGAGTGGCTGGGCAGCTGGTGGTAGTTATTCCCCATGATGAGACTGGCAATCAG